ATTCAGTTGGTAAACTTTCACCTTTCCCCTATTTCATTACAGTTCCTTTTATCTCCTGTTCCTGGTGTCCACCAGACAAGAGAACTTTTGTTTTAATGTTTCCAAGTACTAAACCTTCAATCTCTGCTGTTGTCAGGGAGGGCCAGTCACCCAGTCCTTTGTGGGGGCAGTTCCAACTGCTTCTCTTTTTTTCACCTACTGTACAAATCATCCACTTAACATGTACAATTCAATGTATTTTTTGGTATATTCACATATTTTGTGTTCATTATTATAATCAATTTTGGAACACTTTCACCACCCCCCAAAAAAATCCTTAGCCATTAACAGTCACTCCTCAATTTCCCTCAAAACCACCAGCCCTAGGCAAACATTAATTTGCTTTCTGACTCTAGATTTTCCTAATGTAAACATCTCATATAAATTAAATCACACAATGTGTGTTTTTCTTGTGACTAGCCTCTTTCACATAGCATAACTTTTTTAAGGTTTATCTATATTGTAGTATGTATCAGTGCTTCATTCTTTATTGCTGAATAATATTCCATTGTATAGACATACCACAATTTATCCATTTATCATTCAGTGAACATTTGGTTTGTCTCCCCTTTTTTTGCTATTATGAATAATGCAGCTACAAACATTCATGTGCAAATTTTTGTATGGACATATGTTTTAATTTCTCTTAGGTATAAACCTAGGAGTAGAATTGCTGGATTATTTGGTAACTTTATGGTTAACTTTTTGAGGAACAGCCAGACTTTTTTACATGGTGGCTGTACCATTTTACATTCCCACCAACAGCATATGAGGGTTCTAATTTCTCCATATCTTTGTCAATACTTATTATCTATCTTTTTGGTTATAGCCAACAGCTTCTTAAATGTATACTCTGCCAGTCCTCCTATTTTAGCCTCACCTTTATTCCCAAATTCCTAAGCCTGTTCAGAATTCTGCAATATCAGTCATTGCTTCTTAGCTTTCCCAGCTGCTAGCATAGGCTTCAGTTTCATGAGTGTGCGGGTCAGTCACCATCACAGTGTGGAACTCCTGAGTCCCATAGACCTGTGTCTTCCTATTGGTCTGGCTACTTGCAAGCTGTGAGACCTTGGGTCAAAGTAATGTAACTTCTCTGAGCCTTTGTTTTCTCATCTGTAAAGCAGAAACATAACAAAATGCGGCCAGGTATGGTGGCTCAGACCTGTAATCCCAGCACTTTGGGAGGCCAAGGCAGGCAGATCACGAGGCTGAGAGTTTGAGGCCAGCCTGACCAACCTGGTGAAATTCTATCTCTACTAAACATACAAAAATTAGGCAGGCATGTTCTTACAGGACTGTAATCCCAGCTACTCCTAGGCTGAGGTGGGAGGATCCCTTGAATTTGGGAGACAGAGGCTGCAGTGAGCTGAGAGTGAACCATTGCACTCTAGCCTGGATGACAGAGCTCTGTCTCAAAAAAAAAAGTAAAGAAAAGAAAAAAGAAAGAAACATAGCAAAATAGCTGGCATGCAGCAGGTACTGACTAAATATATTATCTTCTCTTCCTCAAACATAGTGAGTATGCAAAAAGAGAAAGACTTAATCTTTTTCCTTTCGAATTCATAAACTAGTGGGAAAGAGAGAGACATGTACAACTCTCATTTCCTTAATTTTCAACAACTACTGTTGAGCGCCTATCATGTGTCATAAATGTGTTAGTTGTTGAGAGTACAATGTGATGAGTTTCCCATCTTCAAATGGCTTTCCACCTGGAAGAGTCAGAACCAGAGCTGGAATATAAGGTAGACAGAGTCTAGTGCTGTCACACTGATATAAGGGAGCATACAAGAATGAGAGGTAAATTCTGACTGCAGTGCTAGTGCCCAACTTGGTTCACAGATTGACTGGAATGTACTAATACGGATGACTCTTTAAGCCAACAGCTGTAAGCCAACAGAACTAAACTTCACTTGAACTCATGGTACTCTGAAATAGCAAGGTGCAAAGAATAAATCAGCAGCCATATTTTGTTCAACATTCTCTGTCACAAAACCTCTGACCAGTGCGGCTCTGTGCCAGTTACCAAGGAAAGTAGAAAAAGGTAAATAAAAATCACATTCCAAAATAGGTGAGCAAAATACAATGTAACCTGGAGGATTAAAATGAAAATGCAGGGTTGGGCGCAGTGGCTCACGCCTGTAATCCCAGCACTTTGGGAGGCCAAGGCAGGTGGATTGTCTGAGTTTGAGACCAACCCACCCAGCATGGTGAAACCCCATCTCCACTAAAAATACAAAAATTAGCTGGGCGTGGTGGCACACGCCTGTAATTCCATCTACTTGGGAGACTGAGGCAGAAGAATTGCTTGAGCCCAGGAGACGGCGGTAGCAGTGAGCCAAGATCATGCCACTGCACTTCAGCCTGGCCAACAGAGTGAGACTAAAAAAAATTAAATAAATAGCGTGGTGGCTCACGCCTGTAATCCCAGCACTTTGGGAGGCCGAGGTGGGTGGATCATGAGGTCAAGAGATCGAGACCATCCTGGTCAACATGGTGAAACCCCATCTCTACTAAAAATACAAAAAATTAACTGGGCATGGTGGCACATGCCTGTAATCCCAGCTACTCAGGAGGCTGAGGCAGGAGAATTGCCTGAACCCAGGAGGTGGAGGTTGCGGTGAGCCGAGATTGTGCCATTGCGCTCCAGCCTGGGTAACAAGAGTGAAACTCCGTCTTAAAAAAAATAATAACTAAATAAATAAATAAAATGAAAATGCAAAAGTCCAGCACGGGAGCCAAGAAAATATGAGCTTACAGAATAAATCTTAAACAGTTTCTGTCATTTAATATGTTAAGGTTGCTTCTTCCCCACAGACAAACTGCTGTCAGAAACAGGGATCAAGTTATGACCACTGCAGGACTTAGAGGGCTTAAATCCTAACCACGTCCTTATTCATGTCAGAGTGTGGCAATGACTGTCAGAGATACACTTTGGAAAGTGTAAGTTGCTAAAGAGACTGACATCAGAAGAGTATCCTCATCTGAGTATATTACCTTTGCAGTCCCTGATACTGTAAAGGCAATCTGATAATCTGGGATAAAACACATTGAGCTTGTGTCTATATGGTGTGAGGAAAAGGTTTTGAGAATAGAGTATAGCATTGCACATTGTATCAGGCTTTTTGTCTTCATTAAAACCTGCCTGTCAGCCCTTTGGGACCTAGCATAGCCTTCTGCCCTCTAGCATGTTTTAGTCATTGGGAACATTGACTACTCATTCTCTCTCCTATGGCTATTGTTGCTTGATCTAAATCATCTCCACAACCGCAAGCCCTGTCAGCTTTACCCTCTTCCTCTTCCTCAAGTCCCTGAACACCCAACGGTACCATCAGCCTGAATCAGCTGTTTGCTCACTGAGCAGCTGGGAACATCTGGGAGTGGGTCTGGGGGACCACCTAAGCCAGTGAACTATGCACCAAGCTTCCCCTGCCTGGAATCCACCCAACTCTAAAGGGTAGCAAAAGAGGATTCCAAAGTCGACTTTTGAAAACATTGACTAAAACAAAGTTAACCAGTTTTTTTTCTTCTCTTAGCACATCTCACAGTCTCTGATAGTTCCAAAACCATTATGAATTTCCAACAAAAGGATATAATATGCAGTGTTTTCCAATCTCCGTCCTCTCCGAAAAAAACAAACAAAAAACAAAAACATTGAGAGAGACTGATTTAAGGCACTTCTGTATAATTGTAGTCAGAAGTCATGTGTGGTGGCTTACTTGCACCCCTCATGTTTCCTGTGATTTTCTCTCTAATTTTAGAGTTGGACAAGATAGAGACTGTTTTATTCTTTTAGTGGCTGTTATAAGAATCCCTAATCCTTTTTGGATGAGGGTTAAGACAAGAAGCTGGGAACCCACCCTGTGCTTTATGATGGGTGGCCTGTGAGGCCTTTGTTTTCTTGAACCCCTCATGGATTTGGACATGTTAATTTGGAGGTAGAAGCAGAACACAGCTAAATTGCTTTAATAACAAAAATATGAGAAACTTGAAGTTCCCAGGGAAATTTCAGGAAGGAGAGAGAAGTCAGTCAGACTAAATGCTGCATGGGAAAAAGATCAGACAGGGAAAAGAAAACAAACAAACAAACAAGCTAATGGTAGCCCTGCTGAACTGAAGCTTTTGGGGAGAATAGACATGTCCAATAGGAAATTTTAAGCTGTTTGCTGTTGGGGGTGCAGCACAAACCTCCCCTTATGTTTCCACTGTGACATCTTCGATGATGTTTCTGTGGCCCACAGTGCCTAAGTGTGAGTGGATTCTGCTGCAGAGGTGGCACAGTGGTGGAAGGGACAGAGCTGGCTGAGGGCACTGATGTCTGGATGCCATTGATGTTGAGATTCATGTCTCATTAATTCTTCCCAGTGGAAGGAGGGTGGGAAGGGTTTGGTTGTCATTGCAGGAACTATGTGGGTCCCTGAGAGGCAGCAGTTAGTGAAGGAGATGACCCCAGAGCCCAGACATCTAAAAACGGGCTTTTGGGTTAGTTGCCTAAAGACAACTTAACCCCTTGGATGGTTGATTATTTCTGCAGGAAGCATGAGGACAACAGTAAATCCATACACAGTTGTGAGGAAGATGTCAGAGAGAAACATTGAATTAATGGAGCATGACAGGGAGTGGCCAGGTGGTCCGGAAAGGCATCTCAAAGGGTTGCATTTTAGCTAAGACCTGAATTGGAAGGAGTCACATTAAGAACAGAGGAAGTGCATCCCACGTAGCAGGAGCAGCCAGTGTGGAGACCCCTGCAGTCTTTTCTAAAAAGCCTGGTGTGATCTGCCAGCAGAAGGAAAGCTGCTGTGACAAGCAGGGGCAATGGAGCAGGTGGAATACTGCCCCCCTCACCCCCTCCGCCACTTCTGTGCCCCTTGCCAGGGTTAACATTGTGTCTCTTCTTCTCTCACAGACGACTTCGCAGAGGAGGAGGAGGTGCAGTCCTTCGGTTACAAGCGGTTTGGTGAGTCCTGACAAAACTGTGTTCCTTCTTTATGGTCAATCTTGGATGCAGCTACAGACCCCCAGAGACCATTGGCAGGCCCTTGGCAGGCCCTTCATGCACATGGGCGTTTGTGGCTCTGAGGTCCAATTTTGGTTGAAAAGTGAATGTCTGTGTCCCAGGCAGAGGGTTTCTCACAATTTGAGGGGCCATGGGACAGGAGCTGCACCCAGGCATGGAGAAGCGATTGGATGTTTATGGTCTGCGGAATATGAAAGAGATGGCCTGCTAGACAGAGTGTGCTGGGAAAGGCAAATCTGTGACAAGACAGGAGCAAAATACCTGGAATTTTTCGATTTTGATATTCAGAAAACATCTTTGCCTAGGCCTAAGTCTCCTAACCTAGTGTTCATGAATAAGTGATAGGGAGACTTCTTCCAGGAACCCATCTTGACACAGGTGCTCTGTGGTAGGCTGAGGAATGGCCCCCAAAGGTGACAGCACCCTGAATCCTGAAACCTGAATGTTACCATATGTGGCACAAAGGACTTTGCAGGTGTGATTAAGTTGAAGAGCTTGAGATGGGGCCATGATCCTGGGTTACCTGATTGGGCCTTGGAAGCCATCACAAGGGTCCTTATAAGAGAGAAGCAGAGGGAGATGTGACTGCAGAGGGAAGGTGATGTGAGGACGGAAGCTAAGGTTTTTGTGATGTGCTCCAGTCAAGGGATATAGGTGGCCATCAGAAGCCAAAAATGCAAGGGCATTAACGGATTCTTCCTTCAGAGCCTTAGGAGGGAGAGCTGTCCTTCCCACATTTTCATTTCAGCTGACTGAGGCTGATGTTAGACTTCTGGCCCCCAGAACTATAAGAGGAGAAATCTGCATTGTTTAAGCCAGGATGTTCATGGTCATCTGTTACAGCAGCCACAGGAGACTCATACATGCCCTTTGCCTCCCAGGCTGCTGCATCGGGTGCTCTTCTCTGATTTGACCTTGCTTCTCAGGACCTGCAGTTTGGCCTTGAAATGCCAGTGGTCATTGCAGAGTTTCAAAGCCAGCTCCAGGGACTGGAGGATTTTCCCGCCAGCTTGTTTCTGGGTTTGGCCAGAGGAAATGGAGAAGGACAGAGGAGAAAAGAGTATGTATGTGAGTGAGTGTGTGAGAGAGAGAGAGAGAGAATGAAAGTGAATGAATCTATTTCCTGTTGCTTAAAAAAATCCTGGCTGGACTTTGATTAAAGTTAACAACCCCCAGCTGCTCTGGCTCCCGCGTTGCTTTAGCATTTTTCCTTCTGGACACACACGTCTACATTACTTTCTGAGAAAACATACGACTTTAGAATAGGAACGCAGTGGCACCAAGCTCATCTCTCCTGCATCCATTCCCTGGCAGAGCGGCCTGGGTGCAGCTCTGCTGCCCCTCCTCCGTGTTCCTGTTCATCATCTACACGACTCCATGTTTCTGCGATGGGACCCTGGCTCTGTGTTCTTCTTTCCTGAGGGATGGGGGGACTCACTGAAGGCAGCAGTAAGAGTGAAGATGAAACCAAGAATTATAAAGGAAAACAAAACAAAAAAACACAGAAAGACAAGAATAAAGAGGAAAACAAAACTTGACAAAATAAGGCAAAATAAATGTGGGGATGCCTGCGTGTTTTGGAACTCAGTAGAGATATGAAGACCCAAGAGAGAAAGCCTCTGTAGAAAGGGTGACCTTGAGAGAAAATTTTTTATAAATTTCTCAGCATGTTACCAGTTAGATGGGTGGGTGGGGATTTGATGAAAAACACTCAAAAAAGTACATTGCTGACAGGTTTTAATTTGTGGTGGTGAAGTTATGCATGGGAGTTGCAACGGATGACTCACAGGAGACATGATAGCCACTTACAAATATTAGAGAGCACAAACAGAGGCTGGAAGAGAATGAGGCCAAGTGGTACAAACAGAAGAGAGCGACGAAATTAAAATGGGAATCCTTGGAATAGCCTGAGAAAGAGACATTCCTGATGCTGAGAATTCTTGGATTCAGCCTCTAGGCAAGGTGATGGATATCCAGCACAGGGCTAGAGTAGATCTTTGCAAATGGAAGAGTCTTTGAGATGTTTGCTATATTTTATTATTTTCGTTTTGAGACAGGGTCTTGCTCTGTCACCCAGGCTAGAGTGCAGTGGTGTGATCATAGCTTACTGTAACCTTGAATTCCTGGGCTCAAGCAATCCTCCTGCCTCAGCCTCTTGAGTACCTGGAACTGCGGGTATCTGCCACTATGTCTGGCTAATTTTTAAATTTTTTGTGGAGACAGGATCTTGCTCTGTTGCCCCAGATGGTCTTGAACTTCTGGGCTCAAATAATCCTCCAGCCTCAGCCTCCCAGAATGCTGAGATTACAGATATGAGCCACTGCACCCACCTGAGATGATTTAATGCTGCCTTTAATTTCACCGATAAGGGAGATGAGGCCCAGATAGATTATGTCCTTGCTGAAGCAAGTTAGGTGGAGCTGGGTTCAAAGATTCTCTTGTAACTCTCAGCATAGTGTTGTTTTGGGGAACGGCTCAGCAGTGAAGTGGAGGTGACCTTTCAACTTCGTGTTGTGGAGGAGGACCCTGCAGCTCTGGAACCCTATAGTGGAGTGGACACCCAATCCGGCCCCACTGGGGAGGCCTCATCATGGTTATAGGGTGAGGACTCTGATTCTTTGGAAAGTAAATGTGTTTTCAATTCCCAAGAAGTGGCCAATTGAATCCAGCAGAACCCAAGAACCCATTTCTTCAGGCATGGCTAAACTTTAACCATTAAAGGAAGACCAAGTCCCTTCCATGCAACAGGTTGATAGGTGGTAGGTGGAAGGTATTTAGAGACAGGTCAACCCTCTAGGCCCTGCCCCAATCAGTCCTGTGTCTTGAAAGCAGCTACTTAAACTCGGTGGGTCCCAGATGCTACATCTGCCCAGCCAGCAGAGTGAACCTGCCAAAGCCCTCACAGGGCTTCGGTGGGGTTAAGAGAGATGTCAGATGGACACGTGCTTTGAAGTTACAGCACTATAAAAACACAAGACCGTACTATCGCTCCCCTGAGATCTGGGGCTGTTAGCACTCTCTCCACATTTTGGTACAGCCACTGCACAGTATCAAAGTGTGACAGATCTGAAAACATTCCTGAAGAAATGTAAAGGTGTGATTTTCTTCTGAAAAAATGGTAACATTGTAGCCATTTATAGTTTCAAAAATAGACTTGATAACCTAGAGGGTCTAGTTATTGTTTAATTTTAGGTATGTATTGCTTATGCAAGTATGATGACCACAACCCAAATTTAGACTACAGATGAGGCAGAGGTCAGTTATTCACAGGGCAAAGGGGCCGTTGTTTTAGCAAATCATTACTGGGTAGGCTTGTTTCCAAAGTTATTCATATAGAGTTATTATTCAGAGGTGTTTGCTACATGAAGTCAAGGCTGTTTACATAATAATGTGCTTCTTCAAATTCAGCACATTATTACAATAAAGAGCAAAATCCACGATCTTCTCCGGTGATCTCATATGGTATTGTGTTTAGTACAGTCATCCCTTGTTTACTCAGGGATTCATTTTTGCAGTTTAGTCTCAACTAGGTCTTCTGTTTTTCTTCAGTCTTTCCATATACCAGGCTTGTTCAGCCCCATTCGCAAAGTTCTAGACAGGTGTCTAAAGAAGAGATGGAGTTTGGTCTGACGGTTTTGCCACTTTGGCTCCTCTGACAAAAACATCAATGAGGGGAGACTTTGAAGGGTTAATTAAGTGAGCATTTTCAAGCTTTAATCAGGCTTTGGAGGTCAGCATTTCTTGGCCTCAGTATGCAGAGCTAATTGGAACGTAACTATAGTTACAATTTGGCAGAGTTCACTTTCTGGGACATGAGGTATTGGTATATTAATTTTTATTTTCCATAGATGTGATGTATACTACCACGAAAGTGATTATTTTTCTACTTATTTCCCAGTTACTGTTTTCATTAAAAGCCTCACACATGGCTCTAGGATCCTGTATTATTATGCTTAGCAGAAAGGGAAAGAGACACAGCACCACCCGCATAGCCTGGGCCCTGCCTCTGGAGCCTGCATTCTCCCTTTCTGCGCTGGGTGTGGGGGTACTAGACTGACTTTGTTTCATTGATTGGTCGCAATGGGTTCTCTTCTGTTATTTTTGGAATCTGATCCGCTATGATAATAGACATCCAAAGTTGGGATGATGGAGGAGCAAGAGATACATGGTTCACCCTGTGAAATCACGGGTGGAGTTAAAGGTCTCCAGTGAGCAACTGTGGGCAGCTGGAAACATTTGTTGTTTGTATTTGACAAGCAAAGCTTTGACCGAATTGCTTCTTTGGGGCTCAGGGATAGGAATTATTAATAGCTATGAGAGAAAAAGATCTGAAAAATGGCAAACTGAAATGGTAACAGAAAAAGGAAGCATTCTCTATGGAGTAGAATTCAAGTTTTTTGGTAAAAACTAAGTGGGAAAGCTCTAAGGAAATTGCTGAAAAATTATTTAGGGGCTATGGTCCAAAACAGGGTATCAGATGCCTTTTCCTTTGAGGTCAGTAAGTGTGTTCTTTAAAGCATGTCCTTGAATGGTTTTGTTTATGCACAACTTCACAGGCCTCTCTATAGCTATAGCCTCAAACAAGCCAGGCTTTAACTTTCCCCTTTCTTTCCTCGAAAAATAGTTGCAGCTTAGCAAGTATATTTCTAAGAGTTTGGGCCACACAGTGCCAGCCCTGTCGAATCAGCATGAGAAATCTGTGTTGAAGAGAATCCAGCCCTGCCCCGAATGCCCCTGCCTCACGCCTTACCGTCACCGTGCCCTCTTTCCAAACCCAGCCACCAAAGAGGTAAACATATGGAAATTCAAATTCATGGCTCTAGTTAAATTATTGAGCTGTTTCCTGCCAAGAGCTTTAGAGAAACTAATGTCTAAAATCATAGGGGACTACTGAGGCTTCTGAAAAATCACAGCACGAATATGCTTAATCATATAGCCAGAAATGAAGGTTCTTTCTGAGACACATGGTAAGTGACTGCTTTTAATGCCAAGGGATTGAAAGAGTTTACCAAGAAGATGCCGAACTCTCTTTGGGAAGCTGCTCCAGATAAACACTTGGATGCCCCCACTTGTTGCTGGGCTTAGGGGAAGCAGGCTGCCTGTCTCTCCTCTCCTGGGACTCTTCCTGGAAGCCTGGCTTTATCTTCTGATATGGAGAAGGCGTTGACTTGAAGCCATCGATCTCTGACAACAAGGAGCGCTCCAGGCATCCCTCTCACCACAGCCCTGCAGAAGGCTGACCCATTCCCTGATGGGAATGCCAGGAATTTCCATCATTTCCTGTGGGGAACGACTGAATAAGCGCAGCGAGAGGCTGTCCTTCCAGAGGCACCTTTTCCAAACATTTCTAAGTCAAGCACAGGACTGACACTGGGAGGAAAGTGAAGGGCAAGGGAACAGTGGGACCCAGTGCTCCCCATGGGGTTTCTTTGAAATGTCCAAAACAATTTGCATCAAGTTAAGGGGAGAGTTTCATTTATGTGGTTTTGCAAATCCAGCAGAGTTGGTATTTCTGATTTTATTTATTTATTTATTTTTATTTTTGAGACAGAGTTTTGCTCTTGTGGCCCAGGCTGGAGTGCAGTGGCACTATCTCAGCTCACTACAACCTCCGCCTCCCGGGTTCAAGCGATTCTCCTGCCTCAGCCTCCTGAGTAGCTGGGATTACAGGTGCCCACCACCAAGCCTGGCTAATATTTTTGTATTTTTAGTAGAGATGAGGTTTTATCATGTTGGCCAGGCCAGTCTTGAACTCCTGACCTCGGGCGATCCACCTGCCTCAGCCTCCCAAAATGTAGCGATTACAGGCATTAGCCACCACACCCAGCCTCTGATTTTATAAGAATACGGTATCAAAATGGCATGTGAGGGAACTCAGTGCCAAAGAGATTCTCAGGCAGACCCAACTGGAAGGGGAGTCCAGAGTAGCTCATCTGGCCCCTTTATCCTCTGTTTCCAAGCAGGCAGGTGGGGCTCCTAAATGCTGAGAAAGGGAGTTCCTTGGCCATCACTGCTTTTTATAAAACCTGAGGAGATTTCATCATCTTTATCACTATACATGATAACCATAGGCTCCCTTGCCAACAGTATGCACCCAGGTTTCCCTTCTTTTCACCAAGAGGACTTCTCACTGGTTAGATCAGACCCTCCTTGCCTTGTCTTTCCTGCCCATCAGCAAAAAAAAAAAAAAAAAAAAAAAAAAAAAATGGTTCAATTACCACATTCCCATGTGATTATGATTTTTTTCAGACCATGTGAAGAGAAAGTCATGTGAAAGAAACCATTAAACACTCCTTTGTGGATCTCTACTATGTACCAAGTGGTTTCCCACCCATTAGTTCATTGAATTCTCCGAGAAACCCTTGCGGTAGGAATTACCTGTGGTTTGCAGGTGAGAGCCAAAGCTCCCAAGGTTGTGGCATGGCCAGTGTAGGAGTTAAGCCTGATTTCATGCCTCAGTGTTCGTTCTGCTCTACTCGTGACTGGGAAGCTCAGACACGGCCATACTCAAGCATCCCAGAATTTTAATGGAAAAGCAAGTCATCATAGATGTGCCTGGACTAAATCAGCAGCTGTTGATATGGTCTTATATTTCACAGTTTCGTAATATGTGTTGTATTGAACACTTGAGCCCTGAGTTTTCAAGCCATTTAAAGTATATCTCCTCCTCCCCACTCTCCCTGGTTTTCATTCACTTATGAATCCTGGTAGGGCTGTGGGAGGGAAAAGGGGAGAATAATTTGTTTTTCCAACAACTGGGTTGAACTGAATGTGGTTTGTTTTTATTTTTGGAAAAGTTAAAGAAAAAAAGCCTACTCGGCTGTTGTGGTTAAGACAGCGTGGAGACATTTAGGTTGTTTCCAATGTTTGTTGTTGTGGGGCACAGTGGGAAAGAGTTTCCCTTTTGGTAGCAACTCCAAGCAACTTAAGACAGATGAACTCTGAAACTTTCCTTAAGATTTGAGTTGTTCATTTGGAGGCACCTTGGGAAGAGGAAAGCTGTCCTTGGGCCATGGATTTTGAGAAAAATAACTATGGTCCTCTGCAAAGTTGTGAACTAGAGTGTCTCTTTTTCCCTCTCACTTTCTCCTGTTCAGTGTACACTATGGGGTGGGTTGGGGGGAGGTGGTGCCCAGGAAGCAAGGCTTTAGAGTCAGACAGTCCTGGTTCACATAATGGTTTTGTCTTTTACCAGCTAAGCCTCACTTTGTATATCTGTGAAATGGGTGTGACAAGAATATAGTGTGTATTCTTTGTAGGATATATCAATTATAAAACCATAATATATATGGGGGCCACATATACAGTAGGTCTGCACTAAATTGTGGCTATTTTAAACTGCTGACATGCTCCCAACCCTCCCACTCTGCTCTTTTGTCTCTCCCAGGCCCTGGGATTCCATCTTTGGTGTTGCCCCAGGTCTCCTCTTGTGAAGCCCAGCAGTCCCCATTCTCTCTGATCCTTCTCACCTTATTCCCTCCCTCCATCAAAATCTTACTGCCCTACCTCCTATATTCTCTGCCCTGCAGTAGCCTAGTAATTTGTTCAGGAATTCCAAAGGAGTCTATTTTCTTTTCTTTTCTTTTTCCTTCTCATCCCCCTCCTCCTCCTTGTCTCCTTTCTTCTTCTTCTTCTTCCTCTTCTTCTTTTTTCTTTCTTTTTGGAGACAGGGCCTCACTCTCTCACCCAGGCTGGAGTGCAGTGGTGCCATCACTGCAGCCTTGACTTCCTGGGTTTAGGCGATCATCTCACCTCAGCCTCCCAAGTAGCTGGGACCACAGGCACGTGCTACCACTCTAGGCTAATTTTTTTAAAAGATTATTTTTTGTAGAGATGGGATCTCACTATGTTGCCTAAGCTGGTCTTGAACTTCTGGCCTCAAATGACCATCATGGCCCCAGCCTCCCAAAGTGCTGGGATTGCAGGTGTGAGGCACCATGCCTGGTCAGGAGTCTGTTTTCTTGCAGGACATTTAAAAAAGTGTAAAGGGTTGGTGGCCATTAGTAAAGAATAATACTTTTAAGGAAGGTAGCATACTGGGGGGTCAGAGCAGCTTCCATGGACAGCTGGCCTGTCATCGTGGCTAAGAGAATGTATGCTGGGGTCAGACTACCTGGGTTCAGTTTCCAGCTTTGCCAATTACAAGTGAGTAGCTGTGGGCAAATTAGCCTCTCAGTGCCTGAGCATCCTCTAGAATATAGGGATAACTATACTTTCTGCCTGTAGAGTTATCGTGAGAACTAGATGAGTTAATACTCAGAGTTGTGCCTTGTACCTAGAATGCGTACATAATCCATACAAGATGGATATAATGTATGTATTAATGAAAAGTGGCACAAATGGTCACAAGGTGGCTGCAGTGGGTCCAGGCTTCGTTTCAGTGACTTCTTTTTAGAGGAAAAGCAGCTTTCCCAGGGGTCTTCTGTCTACTTACCCTGTCATCTCATTGACCAACAAGTCCTTTTCAAAATTATTTATGTAGAGAGGGAATGGGCTGCCTCTAGTTGGCTTGGACTCATTATTTGGGGAGGAATGGTTGGTGAGGAATTAAGCACTCCAACCATTATTATTAGTTGTAACAGTAGTATCTATAATATATAATGTAATATTATATTTTAAATGTAATACTGTATATAATAATTATTAAAAAGCAACTTAATTTATATTGTTATTTATATAATCTGATACATTATTATTTATAACTTGTTTCATGTATAAAATTATTTATTTATTTATTTGTTTGTTTATTTTTTGAGATGGAGTCTTGCTCTGTTGCCAAGCTGGAGTGTAGTGATGCGATCTTGGCTCACTGCAACCTCTGCCTCCTGGATTCAAGCAATTCCCCTGCCTCAGCCTCCCAAAAAGCTGGGACTACAGGCACGTGCCACCACGCCTAGCTAATTTTTTGTATTTTAGTAGAGACAGAATTTCATCATGTTGGCCAGGATGGTCTCGATCTCCTGACCTAGTGATCTGCCCGCCTTGGCCTCCCAAAATGCTGGAATTACAGGCATGAGCTACCGCACCCAGCCAAAATTATTTTATATAAAATTTAAAAATTCAGTTTATTTGTAAAATAATTACACGTTTACTTCCTAATTGTGACTTTGTTATAAATGAAGCTACAAGGTGCTGTTCTAGTTTTTGACAGTTTGTAGAAAGAGAAGGCATCAAAAACAAGACATCAGCATAATAGAGAAGTGAATGAATGAATAGAAGTCATTTTGTTTTGTGGCTCAGTATTCTCTATAGCCTTAAGCAAATTTTGAAGAAAAAAAATTTTTTTCAAAAGAGGAACTAACAAAAAAGAAAAAAAAACACACCAAAGTTCCAAATCTTAGTGAATACAGCTCTTGCCACATGAAACATTGTGAAACTGGTCTCCTGATCTGAGTCATCACTATAAACGCTTTCTGCTTCTTCCGATACTTTATTTTTATTCTTTTATAGGTTTTTGAATACTGACATTTGGCCCTGATTGACACATGCTCCTCTTTTCATACACTCTGGTAGTTGTACTTGTTTTATAAGTGTGAATATTTCCATGCACAGATCAATTTCTTTCACATGCTGCAAAAGGTGGAGGAATTTAGACTTATCAGGAAAACAAGAGAACCAAACTCAGAGGTCTGCAAAGGTTCTGGCAGAAATCCAGATGGCATTCTTATTCCCAAGGCCTGAAGATGCCCTGTAATCGCTAATATTTGAAATAACCTTTCTAACGTGTCATTCTTATTCTGTGAAACAGGAAAATGTAAAAGTAAAATTATTGCTTATATGTAAGGTCGCAAACCTTCAATCTAACTTCAATCTAAACCTAAATCTAAACCTTCAATCTAAACTTCCACAGCAGTTTAAATATGTAACAAATAACTATATTATTCCCCTTCTGAAAAGCAACTGGGTGTTTGGTTAGTTATTTTAGAGAAAAGGTCTCAATCTATCACTCAAGCTAGAGTTCAATGGCATGATCATAGCTCACTACAGCCTTGAACTCCTGGACTCAGGTGATTCTCCCACCTCAGCTTCCTGAGTAGCTAGGAATACAGGCGTATATCATCATGCCTGGTTAATTATTATTATTATTATTTTGTAGAGACAGGGTCTTGCTACGTTGCCCAGGCTGGTCTTAAATTTCTGGCATCTGGGGTGGTGGCTCACGCCTGTAATCCCAGCACTTTGAGAGACTGAAGGGGGTGCATCACTTGAGGTCAGGAGTTCAAGACCAGCCTGACCAACATGGTGAAATCCTATCTCTACTAAAAATACAAAAAAAAAAAAAAAAAAAAAAAAAAAAAAAAATTAGCTGGGCACTTATTAATTAATCTTGTTTCAATTTCCTGGAAAGCAAAAGTTATAAAAAAGCATCTTTATGGAAGTAAGAATTTTCTCCTAAAGATGTCCATGCTGGTAGTGAGGCCTCATCAAAGGCTTCCCAGAGTCATAGAGTATATGTAGAATTAGAAGCTCCCATTCTGTGCTGAAAATGATAGGAAGTAGGGTGTCAGGGATCCACATATAAATTCCACAGGTGTGAGTAAGAAATGAGTAACAGTTGGGGGCAGAGGAGTCCATTAGCCCAGGGAAGAAATGAGTGCAACGTTAATGGAAATTCAGGAGGAGATGCAGGCCTTCGGCAGTTCCCCTTTCTTGGGAGATGTATGCACTTTGTGAAACTTGTTGAGAAATGGAAGCAAGCAGGACTCTTAGCAAAGTATCATTCTTAGTCCTCCATATGAAAGTGATGTGACATTTACTACCTATCCATATTGTGTTGGGCACCATGGATAATAAAGAAGGGAGATATGGCCTTTGCCTCTGGGAATTTCACATGTAATAAAATTGATTTTTCTAACAGCAGTGCATTTGCATAAAAGAAAAATAGCCAACCCTACAAATTGCTTCCTCTGTCACCTGCAGAATTTCCACAGGCACAATAGAGGGCACTACATGCCAAATACACTGTGAGCCCTCTCTTCCTTCTGTCTGGTGGTGTTCTAAGTCAGCACTGGCAAAGCTTCAGTGGTTTCCAAATAAGGTTGGGAACTCCCCTTTACCCCCACCTCTCCCCATTTGTGCAAGTGAAGAGAACTTGTATGAAGTCCTTTCCTTTTCCCACAGAAAAGGTTGGGGGACGATGTGTGAGAATCTGTTTGATATAAACCAGCAAAGGAAGGTGGGAAGGCAATATCCTTCCGTGTGCTGTGCACACCATTGGCCACAGCTGTTAATAAACTCCTGCCATGTGAAGCCACTCTTCTGATTAACAGCAGCTATGTTCATTTAAAGCACAATTCACAAAGAGTGCAATAAATTAATGTGGTTCAGAAGCCTTTGCTATTTGTTCCACTCTTGATAGACTGAAATGTACCTCTGATAAACAGTGAAGTCCGTGAATGAGACCTCAGAGGGACCAAATGACCTTAAGTAAATTTGCACCGCCAGTCTTTAAATTTTCTTGTTATGGAACGAGGGATAACAATGTTTCAGGGACATTGTGGGGATGAACTAATACAAGCGAAGTGCTTAGCACAATAAATCCTCATTGTTTACTAAGAGAGAAAGACAAAGATGGGGAATTAAATTTTACAAAAAACATTATGAGTTCAGTACTTCATTTGGGTACTCTCTCTCATATGTGTATGTCAATATACAGTGTGTGTGTGTGTGTGTGTGTGTGTGTGTGTCTCTATTTAAAGAGTTCTGAATTGGAAGCATGGAGATCAGAATTTCTTTTGCTACACATTAACTAGCTATGTGAGTTTTGCAAAACGATATAAACTCTCTGAATCTCAAGTAACCACTTCTGCAAAATTAAAGGATTAGGGTAGATGATTTCAAAGGTTTCTTTAGGCTATACAGTGTTGTGGGTTTGCATTTATGTAATGTGATTTAAGGTTCAAGAATCTATTCTGCCACTGCATTTGATTTTTATTTTTATTTTTTTAATTTTTAAGTTTGTTTATTTTTTGAGATGGAGTCTCACTCTGTCACCCAGGCTGGAGAGCAGCGGTGTGATCTTGGCTCACTGCAACCTCCACCTCCTGGGTTCAATCAATTCTCTTGCCTCAGCCTTCCGAGCAGCTAGGACTACAGGTGCACACCACCACGCCCAGCTAATTCATGTGTTTTTAGTAGAGACAGAGTTTCACCATTGGCCAGGCTGGTCTCGAACTCCTAACCTCATGATTCACCCACCTTGACCTCCCAAAGTGTCAAAATTACAGGTGTGAGCCACTGTGCCCGGCCTGATTTTTAAAATATATTATTATTTGCTCTTCCTTGTCCTTATTCAACAATTCAAAATAAATATTTTGTAACTTCCTTTTGGATATATCTTCCTAGATATCTGATGTAAAATTTAGGCAAAAATTGTCAGATGAAAAACTTGCATTAGTTTTGTTCACAAATCTTAGTAATCTCAAGACTAATTCTACTTAGCTATAAGGTCTTTTCATGTAACTCTATGAGTATTGAAGCATTTTCTAGGTGTGTTTTGAACAACTCTGTTCTAGATCACTAGACTCAAACATGGAAGATTCTATTCTCTCCAAGCTTCATAAAAGCGGTTAATTATTCAAATGCAAGTGTCTGTAAATTTAATAGAAAGTGTAATGTTTCCATTAACAATCTGAAGACAATTTGGCAGTTTCTCTCAATTCATTAATCTGTTTACGTTTATCACATGAAATTTTTCTTGGTACTTCTCATGCTAATGAAAGACATATTGGGCAAAAATCATAAATCCACCAGTTACCAGCAGAGGAACGTCACTTTAGCTGTGCCTCTTCTTGACAAGACGGCCCACTGGGAGCTGCGACTTCCTCATCTTTTCTGGTTAGTTTTCAAGTATTAGAATCCATACACACAAAAGGTATCCAGTAGGCCTCTGTTTCTTGGGGCTTTTTTCATTCCTCCAAGAGCTTGGTTCTGTAAAGTGGGAATACATATATTTAACAAGCTTGTAAGTGAGTCGTTTTCCCAACTGGGAAATCATTAGCTCAGTTCTCTCCTTCTCTGTCTTTGTGGAAATAGTTAACCCCACTTTGAAAACTGAAGTCAGCATTAGAATGAAGTAAAGAAGAAAGGAAGGAAAGAGGGCAGGAAGGAAGAAAAGAAGGAAGAGAAAGCGTATTAGGGTTGCTTTTTTTTTTCTGTTTATAATTGCAAACACCTATAAAGGGTGTATTCTGATAAATTCAAAGTCTTTCTTTTCCTTGCTGAGTACTTGGGTGGATATAGGTACACTCACAGCTGAGGAGAGCTGAAGATTTTGGAGTTTCTGAAGTACTAAGCAAGGGAAGAGATAGGGGAGGGGAGGAAAACAGGGCTGGACATGGCAGGAAGTTCTACAGGCTTTGGGGTTGGGGAATAAGGCCATCTTGTTCAGTTCTCAAGGGCCAGGGACTTAGGAAGAATGGAGTGAGCATCTCCTTGCATACTTACAATTCCTGACTTTGTCAAAAAGTATATTTTTTCCCTGCTATATTGTAAGTTGAATGAGGACAGAGATGGTGTCTGTTTTGTTCACCACTGTACCTGGGACAATTCCTCAGCTCAACATGTATTTGAGAAAGGAAGAGCAACAAGTTTGACTGTTTAAAATGTGCATTGCACTCAAGGTGCTTTCTTAAATCCTACCAAAGCTCATGATCTGATATGCCTATCCCTGAATGTGCCTGTGTGTGGGCTGAGAACATTTTCTATAGTCAGATTCTGGGGAGACAGAGCCTTGACCCCAAATCAAGCAGTAAGTTACAGCACACAGGCTCAAGTCCAGGAAAAGCAGAACAGGGCATGGATAGTCTGAGAAAGAAAGGAGACAAACTGGAGCCCTTGGGAGGGGGTGGAGGGCCAGAGAACTAGAGTCAGAAGGAAAAGATTGAAGGAAGCAAGTAACTGCTCTGAAGGTCCTGGAAGTCTCTAACTAGGGCTGGTCTAGGTAACTTACTTTATTTATTTATTTATTTATTGACAAGGTCTCACTCTGTTGCCTAGGCTGGAGTGCAGTGGTGCGATCTTGGCTCACTGCAACCTCCGCCTCCTAGGTTCAAGTGATTCTCTTGCCTCAGCCTCCCTAGTAGCTGGGATTACAGGTACCCACCACCATATCCTGCTAAGTTTTGTATTTTTCATTTTTTTCTTTTTTGAGACGTGGTCTCACTCTGTCCCCTTAGCCAGAGTGCAATGGTGCAATCTGTTCTCACTGTAACCTCCACTTCCTGGGTTCAAGCAATTCTCCTGCCTCAGCCTCCCAAGTAGCTGGGACTATAGGTGTTTGCCCCCATGCCTGGCTATTTTTTTGTTTTTTGGTAGAGATTGGGTTTCACCCTGTTATCCAGGCTGATCTGGATTTCCTGACCTTAAGTGATCCACCCACCTCGGCATTCCAGAGTGCTGGGATTACAGGTGTTAGCCACTGCGCCTGGCCATAGGTAACCATTTACTCCTTTAGAAAGACTGGGAAGGTCCTTTTGCTTCAAAATAGTACCCTTGCTTGAATTTATTTTTTGCTTAAAAATAATTAAGATAATAGGCCTCTTTTGAAGTACAAATACACTAGGATATTTTAGAAATGATGATGGTTACTAATAGTCACCTGTACTTTAAGGTGAATTGTTTAATCAGATTACTTTCTTTCTGTAACATCAAACTGAAATCAGCAAATTGTTTTAAAGAGATTTGTGTTTCAGAAAGATGAAAGGTTCAAAGAACTTTCAATCTTAGCACCTGGGATTGGGAAAGAAAAATTTCAAATGGTAAGGCAGAAACTCAGAAAGGAGAATGTGAAACACAAACTTTTCATAATTAAAAAGTTCGGCCGAGCACAGTGGCTCACACTTGTAATCCCAGCACTCTGGGAGGCCAAGACGGGCAGATCACTTGAGGTCAAGAGTTTGAGACCAGCCTGGCCAACATGGTGAAACCCTGCCTCTACTAAAAACACAAAAATTAGCCAGGCATGGTGGCACACACCTGTACTCCCAGCTACTCAGGAGGCTGAGGCACAAGAATTGCTTGATCCCAGGAGGCAGAGGTTGCAGTGAGCTGAGATCCGCCACTGCACTGCAGCCTGGGTGAGTGAGATCCTGTCTCAAAAACAAAACGAAACATAATTAACAATTTTTTTAAGTCTGTTCCCGTCTCCCCTTTCTTCCCAGAAAGCAGGTAAGAAGGGGTCAACTTTTTAAAAAGCTTGAGAGAGAATGTGATCCCAGGAGAAACTTCCTGTAAGCAGAGGTCCCCAGAGTGATAGGAGTGTCTAGAACCTGCACTTTGGAGAGCCTGAGAGTACGTCACCCCCAGCCATGGTGCCGAGCCCACCCTGCTGGGACTCCCCAGCCAAGTCCTGTGAACCAGTTAACTCTCAATAGGAATAAGAAATGTGTTCTTACCATTTGCCTGAGTCTTGGGCCTTACAATGAGAGTTAGAGGGATGAGATTGAACAGCGTACGTTGTGTACCTGTTGCATCCTGGCCCTGATGCTGGGCCCTGGGATTGAATTGCTAAGATGTGGCACCAGTATTGATGGTGCTCTCAGTCTAGCAGGGGAGAAAAAAGATCAATGTATCTCTACTGTAGTTTGAGAAATGCTTGAAAGGAAACAGAGGATACAAGAGCCAGATTCTGAAGTTTTTAATTCTTCAGAAAGTGGGGGAATCCGTGATTCAGGGAAAGCAATAAAGAGGGATGAATGTTTAAGGGATATGAATTAAAATGAGAAAGTCCCCAGACAGTGGGAACAGAATGAAGGCTGAGGAAACAGAATGAAGATACACCAGTAGCAACAAGGAGCATTAGTGCCTGTCCCCATGGGGAAATGAACTGGGGCCTATTCGAGGAGGGAAACACATATATGCTCAGCTCTGGGATCCATCATCAAGTGATGGACTGTCATGAGATGCTGTGTTTATTAGGGACCTCATATACAATAGATGCTGGGGAGGCTTCAGAATAGTGATTCATGACCCCTGCTTTCAAGATTGCTACAGCCAACTTAAGAGGACAAAAGTGACTCGCGTGGAACAGTAGCAGATAATCCAAGTCAGTTTATCAAGTCAGGCTTGTGGTAAAGATGTGTCCAGACAAGAGAAAACGGAAAGGAAAAGGAGAAGCGCAGCAGCAGTGTGGGCCTCTGGTGAGCACACACGGAGAGGCAGGGATTAGCTCAGGTTGCAGGTGGGCATGGAGAGAACCGAGAAAGAGAAACAGTCAAAAACTTTCCTTCCTGGAGCTGGGGCTGGAGCTGGGTCCGGAGCTGGGGCCGGAGCTGTAGGGCACAGGGTGCAGGTGCAGGGAATGGGCCAGGCTAGCGAGCTAGAAAATGAGGCAAAAGAATTTCAACTTGAGTTGATTAAAATGCCTGACCCCGTCTCTAGTAAAAATACAAAAAATTAGCTGGGCATGGTGACACGTGCCTGTAATCCCAGCTACTCAGGAGGCTGAGACAGGAGAATTGCCTGAATCCAGGAGGCAGAGGTTGCGGTGAGCCGAGGTCATGCCATTGCACTCCAGCCTGGGTAACAAGAGGGAAACTCCGTCTCAAAAAAAAAAAATTAAATTAAATAAAAAATGCCTGGTCTCTGAAAGCCTTTTCACAGAGCAGTCTAATTTACTACATGGTTTTATATGAAAGAAGAGAAAGTGGAAATTGGGGGCTAGGGGAAGAGAGCTGTAGCTGTCACT